TAATTATATTAACCATTTTAATAATATTATTATATTCTATATCATAATTATATAATATGTTATTTAATAATAGTTTTCTTGTATTATATTAAATATAATAATAAATATACATTTTATTATAATTATATATATTATATTATAGTATAATATAATATAATCGTTATTTTAATTATTTCAGTTACTGTTTTAATAATAATATTATATTCTATATCATAATTATATAATATATTATATAATAATATTTTTTTATTATAATAAATATATATTATATTGTAATTATATATATTATATTATAGTATAATATAATATAGTTGTACTTTTTAACTATCCACAGCAATTCAACCTCATAATTTACCAAACGCTATTACGCTGATTTTAGAACCAGTACAGCTACAATAATTATAGTTTACCAAACATTCAGCTACTTTTTATAACAGCTGTTTATTCCTTCAGCACAGCTAAAAGTAATTTTTCTAAAATCTACAGAACTATCAAACTAAGCTAAAGCCAAAGAAAGCCCTTCAGGAGATGACGCACATTGCTGCGAAAATCTGTCCCCATTTCGATTGTTAAAAAAAAAAATTACATATTCTATCTTTTTAAAAATACGACTTACTAAAGTACATCTTTTAAAAAATTATACCCCTTAACTAGTTATAGTATAAGAGCTAGAAATATATGAGTTAATATGAAGGGGTATAAATAAAAGAGAATTCTATTTTACAAAGTATTTTTAAAAATTATCCTTTTAAAAGCCCCATATGAGGTTTTAGCAAGCTAGTCTGAGGGAAGAAATTCTCATTTGTTTTTTAATTGTGGGATTGTTACAAATTTACTTTCTAAAGAATTAATAGGCCAGATTAGTGGTAAAGGCTGGCCATATTTCCCTCCCTTAGGCTCCGTTTGATTGGAATGATGTTAATAGGAATGGTAGAGAGAGTTAGAGAGTAGAAATGATTGAGAGAATTATAATTTTCCTTTATATTGTTTAGTAAGATAGAGAGAGTTAAAATGATGAATGATAATTATTTATGAAATTACTAACTTATCTATTTAAACTATCTTTAATAATTTATTTAAATGGCAAAATAGTCTTTTTAAGTTTAAATATATTTAAAAATGAACTATTTATAATATTCTGTCGTTTTATTGAAAAGGTTCTAAACTGCTGTTATAAAGCCTTCACCCACTATGTGAGACAATTTTATTAGATACAAAAAGTCCCGTGCGGAGTAATTGTGAAATGGTTAATGAATTTATAGTCCATTTGGTCCCCTCCTTTAAAAAGCAAATTTTGTAAGAGTGAGTTTCTACTTAAAAGATTCCTAACAATAAGTATCAGAGCCAATTCACTATTATTGATTGGTTTAAGAGGCTTAATGTTTGTCGATAATGTAGACCGTGGCTGATTTGGGTCAATGTCAAAGTAGACTAGATTGACGTGCATTGAGCCTGTGGTAAAGGGTTCTTGGCCACATTAAATAATGGCTGTCGTATTTACTTTCCAAAATTGATCCTCTATCTATGAAGAACCAAACGACACAATTTTTTAAACTCAAAAATTCATCCTCACAAGGTCAACCCCATTTAGGTTGTACTAGCGTAGACTTACAATATTCATAGGCATAGTAAAATTGCCATTTGAACAACATTAGAAATAAAAAATATAAACGATTCATGTAGTCAACATTATACCACAACAAACACTGTACAAATAAAAAGCGATGACTACTACAAGAGGCAACGCTCTCCAATTATGTTTTACATCCCGAAGTACTGATCTACTGGCTCGAGAGAACCTTAGATAGAGTGCTTTGCACGGATGCAATTGAATCGATAGCAGTCTTGGCGAGCCAGCTGATCCCGACTTTAAACCTATGTTCATCGGTCGGTAATCTAATCAAGTATGCTATTTTCCTTGCTGCCAAAAGGAAGGGAAGCGCAACGGATTAGCTGCTGCAACAGAAATTGTGAGAAATAGTAAAAGGAATAAAGGGTGCATTTTGGACTTTACCAGTATGACCAATTGGACCTTCTATCGTAAGCCCCTCGACGAACGTCGGAGAAAGTGCAGCATCATTCCTCCCCAGAGTCATCATTTCACCTAAATTCTGAAACCTAGAGGCCACAAAAAAAGGTCAAATTGAGGTGTGTATATACATGTATTAGCAGTATTTGAAAAGATATTGAACAGTACTTTAGTTGCAATTCCAACAAGAATAATCTATAGAGCATTGGAGATATAATGGAAATTTTTGTGATGTTATAGACCAAGTAAAAAAATTGGATAAGCAACCACATTGACCCCGAAAACCCCAATCCATGAAACTCAAGTGAGTGTTACCTATGCTTTTGCAATATCTGGAACATCAATTAATAAACCCGCATGGTGCTACGAATCAAACCAAGTAGAAAAGACTTTGAGATCAATTCTAGGATGAAATCCTGAACCATATTAATAGGGGACTTCCCATATCTCCCAATACATTACAAACCCACAATTTCCTATATAAAGTAACAGCTATAAATATGAATGTATTTCCAGCCGAAAGCTATATACGCATGACTTTGCTACTATCCAGATGAAAGTTGTCATGTTGGCAATGTATTAAAGTTTTCCACCATATTCGAACTCTATGTATTGAAGCAAATACGCAGTAAATTTACTTGATTTTAAAGCGGAACAACTAATGGGGATTTCTAGAAGCTTAATCCACCTTCTAAACATGAAATGATAATGACTTATTATTCGAAAATTGTAGTAAATAGCAATTTAGAAATTGTAGTAAATAGCAATTTTTAAATCTAAATTAAATAAATAGTAGATTTTAAAACTATTTGAAGTAAATAGCAGTTTACTGTGTAAATGTTTCATTTACGATTGGTAGAAAATAATTTACGTGGTAAAAAATATCAATTGACATGGAAAAAAAATCTTTTTACTAGTAGTAAATGAAATGTTTATACAGGAAACTGTTATTTACTTCAAATAGTTTAAAAATCTGCTCCTTACTTAATTTAGTTTCAAAAATCTTCTATTTACTACACTCTCCTTTTATGAAAGCACTGATTAGCCACCGCCACAATCAACTTAAAGTCATGTGGAAAGGAGAGATTTCACACACACACACACTTAGATATCAAAATCCAGATTATTGTTGTCAAATTCTTCTTCTAGTTTATGTGGACAAAATCATCCTTATAGGGTGATACAGAGTTATCTTGATTCATCAGTTTTAGTCCTTAATGCACCTTTCTACCTTAATCTCATTATGGCTGGGATAAAATATATTTAGAAAAAGGAGATGCCACATTAAGATTATGGAAAAAAACAGTTCTGGAAGCCATATTAAGTAAATTAAAAAATCTGAAAATGTTACCTAAAAATTCTGAAAACGGCTCTTGAAACAATTTCCATTCAACTCGAGATGCATGTTACCAATGGAATGGATATGTATCTTATATTTTATATACTATATAGATGCGTAAATGAATCAGTTAAAAAGAAAACAAAAAATGACGGCACCCAGGACTGCGGTTCAAGTACCTAAATGGCAAAAGAGGACGGTCATTGATGGCAGCCCAAAGATTCCAACCAGCAAAGTCTGCTTGCTGAAAAGCAACCTGGCAAGAGTATAGAGGCTAGTTTAGCCAAAAGCAATTTGAATCCAAGTAGATGGAGAATATTTTGTTAAACAGATGTTTGGAGAATTTCAGCCAAAATCTCGTTAATCCTAAAAGGGAAAGATATAGGGCATGTTCTTTTGTCCATAAAACTCAAAAAAAGACAACTTAAGTTTCAACTTTATTCAAGTTTACGTTCTTTTAAGTTTTAATTTTATTCAATTTTACTCAACTTTATTCAAGTTCTAACTTCAACTCAAGTTATAACTCAAATTCAACTCAAAAACTACACTCAAATTATACTCCAAAAGAACAACCCCGTAGGTACTTGAATACACCTGTGCAGTGGCAGGAAGAGCCCTTCCATTTGAGTCCCTCAGAGTAGACGAGTCGCCAAGTGCGAATATACGTGGATGGCCCTTAACACGAAGAGTTTCATCTGTTTCTGCTTGACCCCGAGCATTTAGGGGAAGCCCATGGGGCCAGTCACAAGGTTCCACCTGCGGAAGAAGAGGTTTAGAGCCAACAGTCCATAACACTAGATCTGATTCCAGAATTTGACTCTTCAATCCCCTCTCTGCAGGCTGAAGCTCCAATATGTACTTTTCCAAATCACTTTCTGTAGGAATTTCCTTGACTACACTCTCAACTGGCTTCACTGAAGATTCCACATTTCCCGCTCTTCTTATAGAGCGGACAAGATAACCCAATAGAAGTTGAACTTTCCTTGTTGAAAGAACCTAATATCCAAATAACAGCAATATACACAAAACAGAGTATGGTATTGGATCACCAGCATGAAGAACATTAGAAAGGAAAATAAATAAATAAATAAAAAAGAAACTCTCAATACACATGGTTGTGAATGTCTAATGAACTCAACTGTCGTACAAGACAAGTTAGCCAAACCATAAAAACTATAAAACTTCTTATACAACTTCTTCACAACTCACTTTGAGTGCAGCCTCCCTGTTACCAGGAGGCGCCAGTGGACAAATTGTCTTTTCCACATTGATTGCCTGTACCGTTCCTTTATCTTGCAGTCTCTCAGATATTGTGGCTGCCAACTCTACTCCAGAGTAACCACAGCCGACAACAGCAACACGAATCAGAGAGTTCTTACCAAAGTTTCTCCTCTCCAGTGTTTTTAACTTGTAGTCAACCCTCTGCATCACAAAAATATCAAGTTATAAAAGGATTAAAGATAAGGAAAATTATAATCTGCTATGTGATGCAGCACTAGAGAGGAAAAGGGAAAGGAGAAGAAGAAGGGAAAGGAGAAGAAGAAGAGAAAGAGGGGGAAGCAATATGAGAAGTTCAATTCAATATTCAAATCATAACAGTCTGCATTGTCTATAACAAGGCAGCCAATTTATAGGCTAATTACAAAACCAAAACCGGAAATTAAATTAAATGCATAAAATCAAACCCAAAATAAAAGAAATCAAATAAAAATCAATCCTATCAATCAAATTTATTTTCTATATTTGTCTTCTTCAAAGTCAACTTCGTATTCTTCATTACAATGTTAAAAACAAAAATGTTCACTCAAAGAATGATGTTAAATATTTTTCCAGGAGTTACTCACACGAGCATCTTCTAAGGTGGAGAATGGTAATGCAAATTCTGCTGCTCCCGGTACAAGGTCAAGTTTAGTTTCAGCTCCCAAAGCAAGAACCAGCCTGGCTGTCCACGGCCAAACAAGAACGAAAGGATAACTAAAAAGTCAAGCCAGTACGAACAATCCATTTTTGAGGGCAACCAAAACCAATCAACAAACTTCACGTTATTAGACAAAGTGGAGCATATCTGAGTTGTAAGATTTCAAAATTCACAAGTTTCATGAAAACTTCCTATCTTTGTATCACGTCAAAATCCTATTCCTAACTCTAAACTAATGGAACCAACTCCAGACTTCTTCAATAAGTCCAGTTTGGAAAATGAGGTGTAGTTTTTGAATGGAAAATGAGGTATAAGGCTTTTGGTAGAGAAGATTCGGGGGCTGGGTAGACGAAGGAATATACGCGGATTAAAATTCTGTGCGCCCCGTCATATTTCGTCTGTCCACATTTGGATGGATTTTGGGAAGAATAAGACTTAAAGGGAAAGAAACAAATTAACTATTTCATCTTTTTTTTTTCTTTTTTGGGAAGTAAGAGCCCTGACCGGACCTCTTAAACACATTTCAGTGGTAAAACAGCAATTATACAAATAAACTCTCTACTCTCTTTTTTACCAGCAATACCAAACAAAGGAGAGTATTTCTAGTTTCTTTCAATCCCATTTTACAAAACATTAAAGAAAGGCAATTTCTTTTCAATCCATCTCATTTTCTATCTTTCACACTTTATCTTTCCTTTCCTTTTTCAATCACTACTACTAAACAGAGTTTTAATCAGGTAAGTGAAATATCATTCCAAGAAGAAAGCAATTTTTCTTGCTAAGAAAAGTATTGCCTTTTAGCAAAATTTAAACTAGAGATGAGAACATTAAAAATATTGCCTGCTAAATGAAATATTGCCTTTTAAACTAGAGATAAGAACATTAAAAGTGTTGCTAAGAAAAGTATTGCCTTTTAATATAAGAAAATTGAGTAATTTGGGGAAGGTTAAAATATATACCAGTCATATTCAATAAGAAGACCACTTTCAAGATGTATTGTCCCTCCACAAGTAGAACTTGAAGGTCCATTCCATCCCAAATGATCACATGGATGTAAAGATTTAACCTTGTCTTGGAAAAACAACACGCTGGTACTCGCCAGCAAATCTGTGAACCGAGGAGCTATTTCCCATTCATCTACTTCTGTAAACAATCGGGTAGGTGTGAGTAGGAGAAATACAAATAAACTATATAAGGAAATAGCTTCTTTTTTTTTTTTAATGAGAATCAGGAAACTTTATTGATCAAAAAAGGATACAACAAAAGTTTCAGGATGGAAGAGGAATCCATCAAAAGGAAAAAACAAAGAGGAAAACAACTATAATAAACTAAAAAACAAACAAAACCAAGAACCTAGGCCCCATCTTATTTAAATTGTCATCACAGCTTAACATGATCAGTGACATTGGAAAATGTTTATTAATTTCCTAACTAAAAAGAGGAATTAATAAATAAATAAATAAAAAGAGCAGGAGAATGTTATTTAATGAAAAACAACATACCTCCAGATAAAAGCTCATATAGCATTGGCTTAAAAACAAAGCGTTCTGACTGATCAACAAGAAGCACCTGGAATTAAATATAAAGTATCCGTGAATAACAATATGGGAATGATCAACAGTCCCTTAGAGTTTAGAGGTCAGGGCTATAATAATAGAATCCTTTAAAGGATATGCAATGTGAAATTTCAACAATATACACTTTCAATACACACGCATATCTGAAGCAACTATATGTCAAAAGTCTTAAGAAATAAATAGGAAGCAACTATATGTCAAAAGTTTTAAGACATAAATAGGGCTGTGCACGGTCCGATCCGGTCCCAAACTGCCAAGTTTTTCAGACCGGACCATTTTGGAAGTTTGGGAAAATTCCAGATCAGACCGACCGTATCTGGCAATGAGGCTGGGACAGGGTGGTAAACGGTATCACTAATGAGACATATATAGCTCTAATATCTAAAAAGCTTAACTCGTGCAAAATTAGTGACTTTAGGCCAATCAGCCTTGTCACAAGTTTGTACAAGATAATTTCAAAGGTATTAGCTTCCCGTTTGAAAGATGTTTGGAAAGAACAATCTCATAGGCGCAAGGTGCGTTTGTAGCAGATAGACAAATTCTTGATATTGCTCTCATTGCAAATGAAGTGGTAGAAGATTATTGTGCTGGCGGGATGCAAGGTGTTGTTTTTAAGATTGACTTCGAAAAGGCTTACGACCATGTTGAGTGGGAATTTCTGGATTTTGTTTTGGAGAGGAAGGGATTCGGTGAGAAGTGGAGGAAATGGATTAGAGGTTGCTTGTCATTGGTATCCTTCTCCGTGATGATAAACGGTAGGCCAAGAGGAAAATTAAAGGATCGAGAGGTTTGAGACAAGGGGACCCATTGTCTCCTTTTTTGTTCACTTTGGTGGCAGACACACTTGGAAGATTAATGGATAAAGCCGTAAATCTTGAAGTAATTCGGAGTCTGGAAGTGGGGAGAGCGGGTCTTAAGGTATCCCATTTACAATTTGCCAATGACACCCTTTTCTTTTTGGAAAATGGGGAAGAAAACTTATGCTCACTTATGACCGTCCTTGATGTTTTCTGTTTAGTTTCTGGTTTTAAAATAAATTTGGGAAAAAGTATCATATTAGGTATTAATATTGAAGAAGAGGAAGTCTTGAGTTTGGCCAGCCGGGAGGGTTGTGCGGTTGGCTCTTGGCCAATAAATACCTTGGTCTCCCACTCAGTGGGAATCCGTTGTCATCATCCTTTTGGGAATCGCTAGTTTCAAAAGTGACAAAGAGGCTTGAAGGTTGGAAAAAAGCTTTTCTGTCTCATGGGGGGAGATTGACTCTCATAAGATCGGTTTTGTCATCCCTACCGAGTCTCTGGATCATATCTTCCTTCATTGCCCTTTTCCCTGAATATTTGGAACCGAGTGCTACGGGAATTTGATTTTTCATGGGTAATACCAAAGAGGGTGGTGGATCTTTTCAATGGTGATTTATTAATTGGGAGAATCTTTGGAATGGTGCTTTATTAGCCGTCACTTGGTCATTGTGGCTAGAACGGAACTACAGAATATTTGAAGACACTCAGGAGGATAGTGAAGTAGTTTTGGGTAAATTATTGTACTGGGCAGCCTTATGGCTTTTTCAAACTAAAGGCTTTTCTAGGTTTTCTTTTGCAGATCTGTTAAGGGGATGGGACTTGGTTTTTCAGTAATTAGGGCTGTTCAGTTTTTCTTTTCTTTCTTGCTTTAGTCTATCATTTTTGTATTTCTGTTGGCGGACTCCTTGTCCCCTCTTTTCATTAATAAAGTTCTTCCGTTTCTTATCCAAAAAAAAAAAAAAAAAAAAACAGACCGTTTCAAAATGGTCTAGTCTGGTTTAACCACGGTTTGGACTGTGGCATACTAGGTGTGCAACTGTGACATTGTCTAGGACAAATAAATCAATGTAAATGAACGTACAATTTGGAATCTCAACTTACCTGAGGCTTTTTCTCATCAGGCCACACAAGTGATTCAAGTCGTAAAGCAGTATAAAGACCTCCAAATCCACCACCAAGTATACATACCCTCGGTTTCTGGAAGAAAACAAGACCTGTTGCTAAAATATATGTTGAACCACGCTAAAACATTCTCATGATTACATGTGGAGAGTAAGTAAATTCTTTCATAGCACGAGCATAACATACGGCCAACTTATTTTTTTTTTTTGGGTAAAATTAACATACGGCAAACTTCAAAGTAACCACAAACCAGAAAGTCCAGTTAAAAAAACTCAATAATTAGTTGCCAATATTTTGTAAATTCAAGAATTTAATCAGTAAGAAAATACTCCAAAAAACTCAATTATCAAAAAAATATAAAGAGCATTTTCATTAAAAGTTGGACCTTGTTATCTACTTTAAGAACACTAGTGTAAGCACTTTGGCATAGTAACATCATGCTATTTTTAGAGGGGGAGGGGGAACATAAAGACAAAGAAGTTGGCAAACCAATCTCAATTAGCAGAATATGCAAAAACTAAAAACACATAGTGCCCGTTAGGTTCATATGTTTGAACAAAAATTTTTAAATTTTTATGAGAAAAAAAAAATAGCAAAAAGGTTTGCATTGTGGTTCAAAGTCAAATTGCAAACCGAGCGGCACAATAGTAGTTGGACAAATATGTATCATCCGTTTTTTGTCTTGTTTTCTGTCTAAACAGTCGAAATTTCAACACAATATCATACATTGTTTCAAGTTTAGGTAAGTTGAATGGAATAGATAAATACACAAGACAGTCAACAACAACAACAAGCCTTAATCCCAACTAATTGGGGTCGGCTAAATAGATTTCACTTTTCCACACAACTCTATTTGAAATTAAACTTTTCTGAAGGCTTAGATCTAGAATGTCTTTCCTAACGACTTCGGTCCACGTAATTCTTGGTCTACGCCTCCCTCTCCTAGTATTAGGTATAAGAATGTCCTCCCAAACATGAACTGATACTTCTAGCGGTCTACGTTGGACATGTCCGTACTACCTCAAGCGGCATTCGCGCACCTTATCTTCTATTGGTACTACACCACTTTACTACAAATAACTTCATTCATAAATACACAAGACAGTCATTATATATTTTTACGATTTTTAGCATTGTGTCCCTACACTTCTCATGGTTTGGCAATTGCGTCATCCATCTTTCTTTCTTTTTTCCCTTGGAGATTTAGGCCTTGAATTTCTAAAAGAGTATTAATTAACTCCAAGGAGTTAAATTCTATGGAATAATTTTGTGACTAGACCAGTAACTTAGATTACAAAAGTGCCAAAAAATAACTCAAATTGTAAAAACTTATGTATTAGATAGAATTCTCATTAAAAACGTTGGACCTTGTTATCTGGCCAAGCATACAAGCGCCGTGAGGCTTCATCTTCAGAGATATCTGCAACACCTCGTCCATTGGGTTCCACTGAAGAAGAAGAAGATGAAGCAAATTTCAATGGCCTAACCCCTTTCCTTTGAGAATTTTTCCTGGGAAACGAGAAGTCGGTCCCACTTCTTCTCGAAAACCCAGAAAACAAATTGCTCCATTGCTTAAGCTTAACCACGCCTGAAATTTAACCATCCAATATAAGATAGAAATTCGGAATCTCAGCAAAATCCAACCCGCAAGATATGAACTTGAAATGCATTTTTGTTTGCCCGGAATCATAATTTAGTATGTTCGAGTTCTTAAGAAAGCAGACGAACCCATTTGGGCAAGGCTTAGAAAAAGAGATTGAAAACATAAATATGAGAGAGAGAGAGAGAGAGAGGACGTACGATTGAAAGGTGCGAGCGTCGCAGAAGCAGTTAGCGCCATTTCAGTTAGAGAGAGAGAGAGAGAGAGAGATGAAGTTATAGTTATGAGCAAAGCTCTGTCCACGTTTGGCTGCGGTAGTTACACGGAGGGCGTTCTTCCAAGGTTTCATACGGAGAAAAGAAGATGAATAACTCCTTTTTAATCAAAGTTTAAATTTTATTAATTTAAATAAAAAAATTTAAATTGTACAGTTTAAATTAATATTTAGATGTGTAATTAAAATTTTAATTTAAATATAAAATAAAATTTAAATTTGTATTTAATAAGTGTGAAAAGTAAAGAATGTGAATACTTTTTACTGTTTAAAAATAGTTTAATCGATTGAATTTAAGAGGTAGGCTAAACTCTAAATTAGATTATTAAACTCAAATGGTAAATATAATTCAAACGACATGCTTATTAAATACTAGTTTAAACTATAATTACTATTTAAACCGAATTAAACTAATGAAACAATCGGGGCCTAAGTGACTAACAATACTATAACCTAATTTATTTTAGTGTGCTCGCTTCTTTAAGGAGTTGAATTGAATTGAATTAAACTAATAAAACAATCGGGGCCTAAGACACTAACAATACTCTAACCTAATTCATAACCTAATTCATAAACAATACTATAAACAATACTCAGACTCGGGTCCTCAGTGTGCTCGCTTCTTTGAAGAGTTCATATCAAATATTTAAATTAGCTATAAGTCACTAACAATACTATTAACAACATTTAAACATCCTATACCATCCTTTAACATAATCTCATCACATATAATATCAAGTAGAACAAAATCACAACTTTCGAAATTACAACCTAATTCTCAAAAGTTGACAGAAAGACCTTTATTCACTTAAAAATACATAACAATTTCATCATAAGTCAAAATTAGTTATCCAATTTCATCTTAAGTCGAAAAAATTCCTCATTTAACCAGTTATCCAATTTTAACTCAAATTCAAAATTACATAAAGTCAAAATCTAATTTTTTTTGGGGCCCAATAGATTTGGCGGGTACAATGTGTACAAGGTATACGCATATAAATACCGAATTTGGTGGTGTCAGTACTGACGCGGATGGAACACACGGCGTTCACAGAGGAGCTACGGTAGGACCTCCAACAAAGAAGAGGGGATCGGCTAGGCCCAAAGTAAGCTGAAGAAAATGGATTTTAGGGCCCATTTGTCACCATCTTACCAAGATGCCAACTTACGCACATGGGAGGACTTTTGATGCAATCGTGTAGATCGCATAGATGAAGTGTGGTGGGAAGAGTAACTGAACAGTCGATGGAAATTTGGCTTGAAGAGTGTGGAGAAGGCTATTTGGAGAAGTGCTATGAGGACAAGCACATGTTGCCTCTGGAGCAGATGTATGACTCGATTGGTATGGATAAGGCTATTTAAAAGTGTTGGTGAATTCTCATTCCGGAGAAACGCAGGTTGCTCCGTGAGCAAGTTTTATGAGCTTTTAACAGAGGAGGCAAAGTCAACTTTAAAGGAACATAGGTTGCTCTGAAAGTAGACGTCAGCAAATGAGTTTTACGACTTTTTGGAAGTGTGCTCTAGAGTGGCAAGATTTGGCAACAAAGGCGGATTTTCAGACTTCTGGAGAAATATCAAAAACTTCATATATAGCTTTTAGACGATAGATCATGGAAGCTATAAAACATTTGCTAAACAAACACGGTTTGTAAACCGTTTTTATTTTCGTGCATTTTTGTGTCTCAAAATTCGTGTAAAAACATTTTTTAAAATAAATAAATATCAATTCTAAATGCACCATAAAGTTGCCACATAAATTTGCCAATATGAATAACGGATTAAGAGGCATAGTAACCTTGGCGACTGAACATTTGAGAGAGAGAGACAGATAGATCGTGGAAGCTATAAAAGATAGAATCAAAATCAGAATGAACCTCATAACACCTTTATATAAAGTTAAATATCCAAAATTACAGGGTAAACAAAATTTAAGAAAATTATCATTTGCTTTTGAGAATTCACAAGATTTTGCTGTTGGTGATGCTCTTGACGTTAACTATACAGTGAGAATCACGAAAAAATGAGGGCCAATTTGAGACGGTGGACCACAAACTAAACGGTAAAAAATAAAACCATATCGATTTAAGCCCCAAAAATGGAAGAAAAAAAGTTAATAGAAAGAAGACGAATAGAGGGAGAAAGATACAAACTATCTGACGGCTTCTTCAGAGTTGTAAAAATGAGAGAGAAAAAAAAAAAAAAAAGATATGTTCTGCTGTACTTTTCAATCAAAAATCTCAAATCCAGAAAAGTGTAAATCTCAGGTAAAGACGCCGCAGCACCTCTTAATTAAAACAGATTGAATTTTACTATATATTGTAGGAAGTTGAGCTTTTACTGTTTAAAGAATCGTGTGAGTTCTTTTTATCCCTCAACTTTTTAAAAAATATCTTTTCATTTTTTGCTTTTATCGTTTTACTCTCAATTTTTTATTCATTTATTATTTTTTGTTTAGGCATTTTAGTCATTTTCCTATTATATACTAAATACCTTAAAAAACTTATGGAGAAGTTTTGTTAACTTTTTTCTTTTTTTTTTGTTTTTCTTTTTTTTTTTGTTTATTACTCATTTAATGTTAATTGAAGTGAGAAAATGTACTTTAAATAGTACACTTTTAATCAAAATAACGTAATTTTATTACTCATTTAGTGTTCATTTTAGTCTTTTTTTTTACTTTCTCTTGACTTTTTATCCTAAAATTTATTTTTTTTTTATTTTGATTCCTCATTAAGATTGTATATTTAAATTTTATATATTTTTAATAATAACATGATAATTAATTAATTATAACTTAACACATAAATTACTTTTTACGTATAAAAGCACGCGGAGTTTAACTAGTATGCACTAAAGCAAAGGTTGAAGTGCCAAAAAACTGCCTCTTCATCGCTTCTTCTTTATAATCTTATGATTATGATATACAATTACATCAACTTTAACATGCTTTTCAAATTTGACACCCTATTAAGAAACAATTTCTTTGCCCTTGTTTTTTTTAGGGAATGACTGCTTTGTTACTTTTTTTAAATAGTACACTTTTAATCAAAATAATGTAATTTTGATTGAAATTGTATAACTTTTTCACTTTTTTTTAGTCTTTTATTTTATGTTGTTTTTATTTTTCATTCTAAGACTTATCCCTTTTTTTATTTTAGTCATTTTAACTTTTTATTTTTTGTCTTAAAATTTTTATTTTCATTTTCATTTTGGTTCTTTTTACCTTAAAATTTATTCATTTTTCCCTTTTGATTTTTTATTGACAATGTTTCTTTGCTTCTTACCCTAAAATGTTTTTTTTTACCTAAAATTTATTTATTTCTTCATTTTAGTCCTATTTTATATATTTTTTTTTTTACTTTTTGTCCTGAAATTTGTCACTTTTTTTTGTTCCTTTTGCCCTAAAATTTATTTATTTATTTATTTTAGTCATTTTTTTTACCTGAAACTTTATTTTTTTTTCGTTTTGGCTCCTTTTGTTTATTTCTTCATTTTATCCTTTTTTTTTTACTCTTTTTTATTATTTTTTCCTAAAATTTTATTATTATTATTATTTTGGTTTCTTTTACTCTAAATTTAGTTATTTATTCATTTATTTCTTTTTTGACCCTTTTTTTTATTTGTTCCCTAAAACTTTATTTTTCGATTTGGTTCCTTTTGCTCTAAAATAATATTTATTTATTCATTTTAGTCCTTTTTTTTTTACTTTATCTTGACTTTTTATCCTAAAATTTATTCTTTTTATTTTAATTCCTCATTAAGATTGTATATTTAAATTTTATATGTTTTTAATAATAACATGATAATTAATTAATTATAACTTAACACATAAATTACTTTTTACGATAATTAATTAATTATAACTTAACACATAAATTACTTTTTACGTATAAAAGCACGCGGAGTTTAACTAGTATGCACTAAAGCAAAGGTTGAAGTGCGAAAAAACTGCCTCTTCATCGCCTCTTCTTTATAATCTTATGATTATGATGTACAATTACATCAACTTTAACATGCTTTTCAAATTTGACACCCTATTAAGAAACAATTTCTTTGCCCTTGTTTTTTTTTAGGGAACGACTGCTTTGTTTTTTTTTGTGCACCCAAAATATTTTATTAGTCTAAAACGTTATAAAAGTTTTTGGTATTAAGCTACCTCATGTACTCACATGAGGTTGACTTTCCAGTTAAGATGCACAAGAGGACCATATTTCAACGTAAGCTTTGTTAATCAACCAAATATGAAATCTGGCACGTGTGCTCCTATTGAAAAAGTCAATATATATATATACACCTTATAATTATTTTTTTAGATGCAGTTATGTACATTAAATGTGCCCTTATTGAGTTATAATTTATTAAGACTTTTAATCTTTAGGCTTTGTATTTGCTTATTTGTTTAGGCCTGATGACGTGGTGAGTGTTTGGTAGCCCATATTCATCTCCTCTTTTTTTCTAATGTGATTTTTTTTATGATCTCAATAAAATATATTTATTATTAAAATATAAAATTTGTAGCTTGTAAATATTGCCTTCATTTGTGCCCCCACTCATTTCCATGCTAGCTCCGTCACTGCTGACACAAAAAGAACCAGCTAAATCATGTGAACGGAATAAGCCTATCCCGTCCCGCTAGTAAAAAAAAAAATGACATTTATATGCATATGAATTATATGTTTGATTTGTTATCAAAGTACATGATCAGGTTGATAATGTGCATTTAGTGTTAAATGTGTATATTGTATTTATAAGTTACAAGTTTTCTTGAAGGTGAATCCGGTAAGTGAGAATGAAGGAAAAGTAGTTTGAGGATGATTTCATATAGAACTTGATAAGTAACGGAGCTTAAATATTTTAAAAGTACAAAAAATAAGTAAAAACGGTCGATTTTAAATGTAATGAGAAAGTTTAGTATGTGTTTTATTTGGTGTTACATAATGTCAAGTCTCCAGTAACCGGATTGGAGCGGTAGTTATATATGTATCTTTTCAAAGTTTATTGTTGAAAGAATTGGGGCCAGGTGTTCAGCAGAGGGGGAGTGAGTTCAGGTGGGAAGAC